CTCCATGGGCATGGCGTCCTTGCTGGACGGCGGCGGCGGCGGCAGCGATTACCACCACCACCACCGGGCCCCTGAGCACAGCCTGGCCGGCCCCCTGCACCCCACCATGACCATGGCCTGCGAGACTCCCCCAGGTATGAGCATGCCCACCACCTACACCACCTTAACCCCTCTGCAGCCGCTGCCGCCCATCTCCACAGTCTCGGACAAGTTCCCCCACCATCACCACCACCACCATCACCACCACCACCCTCATCACCACCAGCGCCTGGCAGGCAACGTGAGCGGTAGCTTCACGCTCATGCGGGACGAGCGCGGGCTGGCCTCTATGAATAACCTCTATACCCCCTACCACAAGGACGTGGCCGGCATGGGCCAGAGCCTCTCGCCCCTCTCTGGCTCCGGGCTGGGCGGCATTCACAACTCCCAGCAAGGGCTCCCCCACTATGCCCACCCGGGCGCTGCTATGCCCACCGACAAGATGCTAACCCCCAACGGCTTTGAAGCCCACCACCCGGCCATGCTCGGGCGTCACGGGGAACAGCACCTCACGCCCACCTCGGCCGGCATGGTTCCCATCAACGGCCTTCCTCCACACCACCCCCACGCCCACCTGAACACGCAGGGCCACGGGCAACTCCTGGGTACGGCCCGGGAGCCCAACCCTTCGGTAACCGGTGCGCAGGTCAGCAATGGAAGTAATTCAGGGCAGATGGAAGAGATCAATACCAAAGAGGTGGCGCAGCGTATCACCACCGAGCTTAAGCGCTACAGCATCCCACAGGCCATCTTCGCGCAGAGGGTGCTCTGCCGCTCCCAAGGGACCCTCTCGGACCTGCTGCGCAACCCCAAACCCTGGAGCAAACTCAAGTCCGGCCGGGAGACCTTCCGGAGGATGTGGAAGTGGCTGCAGGAGCCGGAGTTCCAGCGCATGTCTGCGCTCCGCCTAGCAGGTGAGCGGGCCAAGGAGCTGGGCGCGCAGGGAGATAAATAAGGTGTTCGGGAAACTGAAGGGACCCAAGGAGGCTGGGAAGGAGAGAGATCTGTGCACGCTTCATCCCGTCCTCCTTTCCTGGAGAAGGGGGTCCCTGGGCCTGAAAGAGCCAGAGCGTGGCTCCTGGAAACAGACAACCTCTTCCAGGAATCAGTGAGCTGGCCTGTGGAAGGCTCCGGAGCTGAGCGGCCGGCCTGGGTGCCTGCGGGTGTGCATTTGTGCTGGGAGACAGCGCAGGGAGTTCTCACGGCCATAGGTGGAGAGAAATCTCAGCACCTGGCTGAATACAGCCTTTGCCTCACTTCTGGTTTCGGTACTCCGGGTTTGGGAAGAGGGAGGTGACATGTGCGTGTACCAGCACTCATGCTGTCAAGTATCCCTGGCACATACCTGGGAGCTGGGCTGAAGCGCGCAGGAACTGCTCTCCAATGTTTGGCTGAACTCGCTGTGGTGACCCCCTCCCATGCTCACTCTAGTGTTGTGGATGCTGGGGGTGAGGGAGCGCACTTTGAGAGTTCCAGCAAAAGGTTCCGAGCCGCGTGGCGATGAGTGTGTGGCGCAGACGCTTTGTAAGGGTTAGCACGCACTCTACGCTTGTGACTGACTGTAGAGAAGGAGGCAGACCGTGCCAAGATCCGGATAAGGGCGCCAAGTAACAAGGGAGCTTCCAGCTGAGCCCAGGGACCGCCTTAGCTGCCGACTTGCTTAGGACTTCGCGTTTTCTTTTATTCCTCTGCATGAATTTTCGTCTGAATCCCCGTGCAGGGGGTGGGGGAAAAAAACAAGTCTGCAAGCAGAGGTCTCCTGGGCCCAAAACCCCGAGGCCCTGATGTTTCGTAGTTGGGCGGGAAGGTTTCTGCGGCTCTGCATAGACACAGTGCCCAGCTCCTCCAGCCTCTCTAGGCAAAGGTACCGGGAAGGCTCTAGCCGGCTGACTGGCAGAAGGGACAACTGAGACCAGCCAGCCTGAATCATATGGGGGATTTCAAGCAGATTCGGTGACCCCCTAGAAGCCAAGGGCAGCCGAGGGTGGACTCGGTTTGATGAGACCTGGACTTTGTTGATTGACTCCTGGGTCCATGCCACCTCTCCCCCACCCCTATCTGCCCCCTACCCAATCTCAGCCCGGCGTCCTAGCCTAGTCCTGGCTAAGAAAAAGGTAAAAGCAGGAATGAGGGTTTGTTAATTAACTGATCGTTCTCCATTAATTCGTCCCTGGAGAACGAGAGACAGTCAATCCGCTCAGAGCCGGGGGCACTGAGCCGTTTCACAGTCTAAAATCAAAGCGAGAGGCCAGGGCCCCCTCCCCCACCTCGGGCGGGCCAATGAGAAGCTAGAGGGAGGCAGGTGCCGGCGTGCCCGCGACTCCAGCTGGGATACAACCCACAGCACTCCTGGGGTCTGGGCTCTAGTGGCCTCCCTGCCCGAGCGCCGCGCAGACTGAGCCTTAGCCTCGCCAGGTTTTCCATCCCAGCCCTGCGCTCTTTGGCTCCAAGCAAAGTCCCCAGGCGGACTCGCAAACTGCGCCCAGAAACCAGGAGAGGCAGGGGTAAGGGGAAGGGAGGGAGAAGAAAGAGGATACCCTCTGGGCTCCCGCGGTTCCACTCTGTAGCTCTGTGTGCAGCTACCAGATCGCCCCCTACGGCGTGGGCTGGCCGAGATCCGAGGGCAGCTAAAGTTTTAGGAGTGATGTTCAAAAAGGCTTTGCCTGACTGCTCTGCCTTTCCCGGAGCCCAAGGTGGTCAGTGCCTTTTCACACGCCCGTGACAGCCTGGTTTCATGACCTTTTACCGAGGCAGTGCCCACACAAGCCGGTTAGTGGGGTTTAGGGGAACGGAGGAAGAACGGTGGAAGAACGGTGAAAATTGAGAGCCATTACCCCAGAGAAGCTCGTTCCACACTCCCTACCTCCTGAAGGCTCTTGCTCAGGACTTCAATGACTATCCTTTCCCCACTGCCTCCTACCGCCCCCTGGAAAGGCAAGCTGACAAGTTATGTTCAGAGACTACCCCGGAGCCCTAGAAATTCGCCCTAGCTCCCTTCCCTGTACCGGCGCCCTCTGACCTCCTCGCGTGGGCGGCCCTTGTACTGCAACCTGCACACGGGAGGCGCGGGCGGCATGCCGGCCGGGGTTGACAGGACCCAGGAGGTTATCGAAGGGGCCGCTGCCTGGCACCCAGCAGCCTGTGGCGAATCATGCCCAGCCTTTTCCTCGGAGGTGAGGGGGAGGTAAATCAGAGACTGCAGCGAGACAAGCGTTTGGCGCCAAAACCCAAGCTAACTCCACGTCCTAAAACCAGAATGCAGCGTCGTCTCTTCCATTTTCCTTTCTTTAACTTCATTAAAGGGGCGGGGCGGGCTGGGATGAGGGCGCGTGCAGAGCCAGCCGGGATCTACCCCATTACGTAGCAAGATCCGTGACTTGTTTTCAGATCACCGAAGAACAACGAGCCGTCCCTTTAATATTTTCATTTAGAAAAAGAAAAAAAAAGTGAAACCGTTTCCTGAACTGTTCGAAAGATCTCTGGTAGGCCCTGACTGCAGGTGACTTAAAAAAGATTGCAAGCTTGTTCGCTGTGGCTGTGGGGCATTGCAGCCGCCTCGCCACCGCCAGCTCCCTTGCAACTTTGCTCGTCGTTGCACCCAAAGACCCGTCAAACTCGTTTCTACCCCAAGCGAGGCAGGGCCCATGGATGTTGGGTCCTTCACTCAACTCCCGATGTTGGAGGGAGAGTGGCTTCTTCGTGCCCCTCGCAGTACCCCAAGTTCCGAACAGCCTGCTGTGGAGGTCAACAGCCTCGGCACATGGCAGCGTGTTTGGAGAGGCGCTTTCTCTTTACGAAATTGTATCGGCTGGTGCCAGACGGGAGAGAAGGGAAGTCTCAACAAATTAACTACCTTTAAAAAATCAATATATGTTCCCTGATTGTAATACTTGCTGCTGCCCCATTAAAGTGCAGCGCAACCAGGCTCGCGCTGGGTCTCATTCCAGGTGGGGAGGGCAAGATGGGCTGTGCGGGTGGGTGGGTGCCCCGCCTGTTATGTAGGTGCCTATTAAGGCGCTAGGAGATTAGTTTCCAATTAAAGATTCTAGAAGGCTACGGGCCACAGTAGGGGAGCTGGCAGGGCAAGAAGAGGCTGCAACGTGCACCCACCAGCAGGTGCTGCACGGAAGACCCAGGAGACGAGGCTTAGGTCGGGCAAATGTGGGTGCTGGACCACCCTGACCCTGCAGAACCTGGAGGCCAAGAAACCTCCAAACGGTGGCATCAGGGAGCCAGACCAGTCTCCAGCAACTGGGACTGCGCCCTCTCCTTGTCCAAGATTTGCCCCAGAACCACCTGGAGCAAGGCCTGGGCCAGGGAAGGGGGGCGGTGTGGCGGTCTGGCCAGGAGGTGGCCATGAGAAAGTCTCGCCCAGGCCAACCTGGGCCATGTTTGCCATAAGTGGCCTTGCGGCCTGGTTGATTGATAACTGGCCCCCCCGCACAAGTCCATTTGCTTTTTGTTAATATTTATCCTGGCGGGTGACATTTCAACTGTCCCCTCACTTCCCTGGGCCCCAGGAACCAAGCAGGAGTGCCATACTGGACCCTGGGAACCTCATTTCCCCAATCCTTGAAGATTCTGGGCTGGGAGAAGAGCCAGGACTGGGTGTGTGGGACGCGGGAACTGGAAGGGTTCCTGGGCCCAAGAGTAGGAGGAGAAGGTGCCAAGCCGACTGTTTCCCCTCCAGGCCCTGCATCTCTGCCTGGCGGGTCTCGCGCAGTGCAGCTGATCCCAGACGGCTGCGGCATGAACAAAGGGCCCGCAGGGCGCAGCAGATCTCAACCTTCTCACAGCCGTGGGGCGAGGGGGGCTGACTGCCTGGGAGGAGAGCCTCCTCTGAAGCTTTGTGGTAGCCTCCTCCCAGCATGGGCTGGGGGCCAGCCAGTTGTCAGGCAGAGGCCAAGGAGTTCCAGGGTCTCCCAACCAACTCAGGCCTAATGGTGGCCATGTTTCTGGGGAGTTGGCTAGGGACCCTACCCCCAAGCAGCTGAACAGGTCTCGCTGTTGGGAACAATCCCCAGAAGGCTCTGCGTGGGCCTTTCTCACAGCCCATGTCTGACCCTTCGAGGGTGAGGGACAATAGTTGTCTCCTGCAGTCCCCATTGGAGCACAAAAACCTCAGGAAGAGAGAAAGGAGCGCATGGGGTTAAGAAATGTGTATATGATGAAGACTGGAGCAGATAGTTTTTGACTAGGTGAGGGAGACCAGCTGCTGGGGCTTGCGGAGATCTGACGGTTATTGTGTGGTGACCTAGTGTCAGTGCATCGCGGCCGCCTGAGACAATAAACCCTGCGGTCTGTTCGGAGGACTTGGCTCTTCCTCCAGCGGTGCAGCTCTGAGCGCTTTGGAAGCACCAGGAGGGCGATCGGGGTCGACCAGAGCGACCCGACCGGCCCTGGGCGAAGACAAGTCACCAGAGATTCAGTCCTGCCATAGCTGTTTTGCAACTGGCACTTGGGATAGTCTGTGCCAACAATAGCACCGTTGTGTTGTAGCAGCAAAGCGACTTAAAGCCCAGCCTGCATTTTTCTTTATCTTCAAGCTGCGATCGCTCAGCGCGCCGCAGAGAGCTAAACTCCTGCTCTCTTTGGACTCACCTTCTCCTGGTAGTGGAACTGACTGTGCTGCAGTAGCTGCGGGCGCCCCCTGCTGGCCGCGGGGTCAGGCAACCCAGCAAGCCTCGGTGGTTCAATCCGCCACAGAAAGGAGACGGATGCCTGCTGCGGCTTTGTTTTTAGAATATCGATGTCCTAGTGATTTTCAAAACAATAACTCTTTTGATAGGAAAAGAGTGTAGTGGAGGAAGAAAAGGATAGCTAGTGGATATATCTTGGTCCTGAACAAACCCAACTGATGAGACAATATTACCATTCCCCCAAAGTATACCCTAGCTCTAACCTCTCAAAACAA